CAAACGTTTATGTATGAAATCTTTAAGTGATAAGCTTATTTTCCCTACCTTGAAGCAATTTGTCCTAAATTTCCGTACGTCTGCATTTGGTTTTGCTGTTCTAAAATTCCTTAGTTGCTGGCTTTGACTTTTTATGTTGCTGAGTTTTATACATCTATTTTCTCACCTGCCATATCCTAGGGGGCTTGGAGTACACATAATACAGTGAGCCCACCTTCCTGGTCCCCAGACATTTCAGAAGGTCGGGAAATTTTTAAACCCAGGCAGCTTCCTGGCAGTGCCATTTGGAGCATCAAAGTGGTAAATAAAATTGCATTTACATTCGTATATCATTTCTTTCTGGTTGGTTTTGTCGGAGTAGAAGTTAATAAACCTTTCTTTTCTAGATAAATAGTTGATCCAAAGCCACTTTTTTAATCCAAAAGTTTTAATATGAAAAAGCAACATGCTTGCATTTAAAAACCTGTACTAGGTGGAAATTAAATTGCCACTTTACATGACTGATTTTAAGTGTAAATTTTTAACCTTCTAAAATGATTGCTTCCTCTTATATTGTAATTAGCAGTATTTTTATGAGGGAAATCCTTGTCACATAGGCTATAAAGTAATTAAGGACTTGTTTGTTTGTGGTATCATAAAATTTTGTTGCTTAGAAAAGAACAGAAGAAAAACTACATTAATCTGTTATGTACTAATGGAGAAGAAATGCCAAAATGTAGCAGATTTCATTGTCTGTATTAATAGCCTAAAAATCATGGGGTTTCTGTTTCATGTCATTGGTGGATGACACTGCCAGTCCTTGAAGTAAGTTAAGTAGTGTGATGCAGTTTGAAAGGTAAAAAATTAATTTGAAAAAGTGTTAATCATCTAAAAAGTTAAAATATTTTACTGACTAGAGGAAATAGTTTTTCTTCATCTTCTGTATATGAATAATTCTGGAATAAGGGTTTTAAATTTAGACTAATCAAGAATTTCAAAGGAATTCTAGATTCCACTTTTTTTATATCACTATTGGAAGAACCTTTTCAGCTGACTGATGTCATACAAGGTGTTGAAAATATTAATATTTGTTTTAAGGGTAAAACAACGGTAAGCCAGAAAGAGAGGAAAAAATGCCATATGATATTTCTTATATGTGGAATCTTAAAAAAAAGAAAGGAACTACTTACTACTTATAACTTAGGTGATTTTCTTGAATATGTGTAAGCACAATTGACTGTCCTTTATGACTGAATTACTGCATTCTGTTGATTCTTAAAATGAAAACTATGACTTGTTTGACCATTTTGAAGCAGATACCCCCAATTTTCACTTATTCTTATCTCTCTCATTGGATGTTGAGGAAAAAGAAATCGGGATTGCTTTAGTCCTGACTTAATCACTACCTTAAAGAAATCTTTTATTCCAATCAAAAACCAACGAAACTATCCAACTTGACCCTGCCCTGTCCCTTGTTCAAAGAAGCTCAAGAGCTGAAGGAGAGAGCAGCTTAAGAGGACAAGGAGAGGCAGTCGGAAAACTGGAAGTTGGCTGTGTTTACTAAAACTGAGGGGAAAGAAAAGACCTTCCAGTCCTTTGTGTTCATGTATGTCTTTTTTATGCTCACAGTAGGACCATAAATTACTGACTTGGAAACCACTCTACCATGTAAACAGGTGACGAGTTCAGTATTTCAAACTGCGATAAGTGACATTAGTTGAAAATGTGACATATTATTTAACTTGTTAGGGAAAATATCAGAAAAGATTTTTCCCGAGCATTTTAGTAATCTTAAATATACATAATGCCAAGTTTTTTAAGGTAGTAATGCGTAAGTCTGAGAATAAATAGGAAAACAACAAATAACCTTAGTACTTATTTGTTAAAATGTCAGGGAATTTAACATGTTTTCCCTAAGAATCTTTTCTTGTATTGGGTAAAAATCCAGATAAAAATGACTTGAAATGGAAATAATTCATCTAGATGATTTAAAACAAGCCATTTACTTTATCAGCTTTCCTATAGTCTTTAAAATAAGTGTCCTGTAAATACTATGGTAGAATGAGATATACATGTTCACTTCATATGGTCAGCTATTGAATAGTAAAGGAAATTAACAGTTTCAATGACAGAGGAGAAATACTCTTACACACTAGCAAAAATAAGCTTTCATGCAGTGTAGTGGTACAGAATATGATTCTGGTACAGAATAGTAGTAAAGGACATGGACCCTGGGACCAGACTTGCCAGCTGCAGGACTTTGGGCAAATTACTTAACCTTTTTATTTGTCAGTATACTTGTCTCTAAAATGGGGATAATAAAATAGTCCTGACTTGATGAGATTTTTTGAGAGTAACGAGGGCTTAGAGCAGCACATAGTAAGTACTCAGGACTTGTTAGCTATTAATATAATTATGAGAAACCCATTAACAAGAGAGTCCTTCCTTATACCTGCTCTGTATACAGTACAATTTGTTGTACGTGAAAATGAAAACCTGGCTGAGGTTGTGGCTGCTCTAGCCACTTAGGATGTAGGATTAGGAAATGGAAAAATAATGCCAAGGTTTACTGATGCAGGGCATTCACAATGACAGACCCAAGTCTGATTTTATGTTTATGTTTTAGTCATAGAATACATATCAAAAAATGCAAATAATAAGCTTGTTCTCTTTATCATCCGATCAGAATAAAAGAGGGAAGCAAGTATTTGTGTAACATTTAATAAAATGATTTACTTAACATTTGGATTTAAAATTCTTCTGGGCTTTTGCAGACTGCTGACTTTTCCATATGTGTTGTATAGGGCCGTGGGTCAGGATTCCCAGGAAAGCGGCGACCTCGTGGTGCGGGACTGTCAGGACGAGGTGGCAGAGGCAGATCAAAATTGAAGAGTGGAATTGGGGCAGTTGTGTTACCTGGGGTAAGGCTCACTCCTTTTAAGTTTGCTGTAATCCTTTATCCATCAGCTGATGATGACAATCTCGTTTGTAGCAAAGTAGTTAGATTCTAAGAGTCACATAAATAAGCTAAAATTTTTATCTCTACTTTGCATTTCTTTTTAAACCCCTGATGAGGTTTTCTTTCATAGTTTCTGCTTTCTCATCCCTTTTTCTCTTTTCTCACCTTCCTCTTTAATCTTTCTATGCCAGCCTTTCCCAAAAATCAAGTATATATTTACTCTTTATTAAAAAAAAAACCCCACAAAACTCCCATTATATTCTTGAGTTTATTTGAAGAATTAAATTATGTTGACGTTCTATGTTTTTGATTGTAGTTGCTCTCAGTGCTGTACTGTGGTTTACAGAAGAAATTAAAAACGTTACAGATTAGTATGAACTCTATAAATGTTGAAGATTTTATGATTATCTTTGACATTTTAAGATTGATAAATATTTGCTCACTGGCACCTTACGAGGCTTTTATATTTAAATGTGTATTGAAAAAACTGCATTTGGCAAACAATGGCAGGTATTTCATGCAGTAACTACTATTTTACTAATACCTTGTTTTTCAGATTCTAGTTATCATTTTAATTATCATTTTAAGTTCAGGAGACAGGGAGGATTGTTCAGTTTTACTACTAAAGGCATAAGGAAACTTGAATTCTGGTCCTTTTTTTAAAAAAAGTAAATCCCTCTTCATCCCCCAAATTAACATGCTTATTTAGGTATAGTTGATATAAAATAAGGTACAAGTAGTTAGTTGCACAGCTTTGGACGTATGTGTACACCCTTGAAAACCACACCACAGTCAAGGTATTCACCCCTCAGTTCCCTTGTGCCCTCTGGAATCTCTCTGCCTTCCTCCCTGCGCCAGGCCTTACCCTCAGGCAGTGACTCACCTGACTTCTATTAGTTTGCATTTTCTAGAGGTCATGTAAGTGGAGTCATGCAGAATGTACTCTTTGGTCTAACTTACTTCATTCAGTGTAATTATTTCATGCTCTTACATGTTAATAGGTCACTCCTTTTTGTTGCTGGAGCATTTCATAGTATGGCTGTGCCACAGTTTGTCTATCTGTTGGGACACTGAGCTTGCTTCCGTTTTTTGGCTACTAGAAATAAAGCTGCTCTAAACTTTTACATACAAGTCTGCTGTGGACATGTGCTTTCTTTCTCATGGGTAAATATCTAAGATTGGAATGGCTGGATACTGGTAGGTATATGCTTAGCTTCTTAAGAAAAGGTTATTTTTCAAGTTGAATATGACATTTTATATTTGCAAGAATATATGAAATTCCCATTTCCTCCACATACTCACCCATGCTTAGTATGGCCAGTCTTCATAATTTTAGCCATTCTAACAGGTATGTTGAGAGTATCTTGTTTGCAATTCTTTTATGACTGATGGTTTGATCAACTTTTTATGTGCTTATTTGCTGTCTGTGTATCTTCTTTGATAAAACCTTCAAATCATCAACATGTTTTTAAAAATTGTTTCATTTTTAACTTGCTGAGTTTTGATTTTTCTTTATGTATTTGAAACATAAGGTCTTTATCATATGATTTGCATATATTTTTCTTGCATTTTTTGGTTTGTCTTTAACTTTCTTAACTGTTTCAAAGAGCAGATGTTTTAGTTTTGATGAAGTTCTGTGTATCTCTTCATTTCTCTAAGTCTTTAATTTTTTTCACTGATGTTCTTTAATCTTCAACAGGCAGGTTGAACAGACACCATTTTTCAGATTTGTCTTACATATTTTTTAATGGTATTGTAAATAGTGTTATCTTAAGTTCAAATTGTGGTTGGCTGGCTGCTGATTTCTAGAAATGCTATTCTTTTTCGTATCCTACAATCTTAACTCCCTTATTCTAGTTGCTTATTTGTGGAATCCATTGAATTTTCTATATGTACAATCATGTTGTCTGCAGATAAAGACAGTTTTATGTCTTTGTTTTTAATCTGGAGATCTTTCATTTCTTTTCTTTATTTCATTTGCTAGAAGGAGTATAGTGTTGAATAGAAGTGGTGAGATCAGATAACCTTGTTTTTGACCTTGAGGAGAAAGCATATAGTTTCTCATCATTAAGTAAGTATGGTGTTAGCCTTATTTTTGCTTTGTTTTAATGGACATCCTAAATCAGTTTGAAGAACCTCCTTTCTATTCATAGTTTGCTGAGATATTTTTGGAGTAGATGTCAAAAGTAGGTTCTGTCAGATGCTTTTTTTGCATCTATAGAGATGATCGTGTGGTTTGTTTGGTGATACATGAGTTACATCAGTTGGTTCTTTTGTATGATAAAGCAATCTTGCAGTTCTTGGAATAGACTCCACTTAGTCATGATGTTGGATTTAGTTTGTTTAAAGTTTTAGACTTTAAATATCGACATTCATGAGGGATATTGGTCTCTAGTGTTATTTTCTTATCATGTCTTTGGTTTGGTATCAGCTTAATGTTGGCTTCATAGAATGAATTGGGAAATACATTTTGCTCTTGAATTTTCTGGAAAAGTTGTGTAGTGTTGGAAATTTCTTTGTTACATTATTCACTGATAGACTCATTTGTGGATCCATTTTGGCTTCTCAATCTATCACCAGTCCTGTGGTTGAATTACTAGTTACTCCATTCTTAGCAGCACTTAATTTATTATTGATAGAATGCATTCTAAGTTTATGAAGTCATCTTCCTTGATTTGTAAGAGCTAATTTGGGGATATACATATAATATATGAATACATTTCCTCAGTTAAAAAAATTAAAACATTATAGATAGATCAAAGTTTTCTCTAGTACCACTACTTACTAAGTCTTGATTTTTTCACCAGTTTTGTTGCATTTACATAATAGGTTGATCCATATGAAAGTGCCAACATTCAACCACTTTTGCCCTGCAAAACCAGCAATTTCTTATGACTCAACCTGTTACATGTGCCAGTAGAAAACGTATTGCATGTTTTCATACCGTAGTGTCTACATCACAAAGTACAGCTTATTTTTCCACTCAACAATGTTAGCTTGGTGATTTCTTCATGGAAATCCATGTAGATTTCTGCCCTGCTATTTTTTTAAGTGCTGTGTAATTTCTCATACTTCAGATCTTTCATATTTTTGATCATTCTCTAGTGGTGACTGTCTAGGTTGCTTGCACTCTTCCTTTGTTGTCTTTAGGCCTTTGGACTGTAAACTGCTCTAATTGTTAACTCTATCATAACAGTTGTACTGTCCATTAAAACTGCATTGAAACTCATTTACATGGAAAAATATTATTACTGTAACATATTCTTTCCATTTAGTAACTCTTTTTTCAGTTATTCTTCAAGAACAATAATTCCATTACTTTTTATTTGACTGTAACCTACTGTGTTTCAACTCTGTCCTTCCAGGACAATTGTAAGCTTTTAAAGCAAAGAGGATCATATTTTATTATTTTGGCAATGGCTCCCTGTTCTCTTTTTTAGCATCCAGTTCAGAGCTTTTTTCATAAGTACTCTGGAAATAATTATTAACAAGCCAGTGCATAGTTAGTTGATTTGCTCATTTTAACCAAGTCCAGAATTGAACAGCTATGGTTCATAATCCTTTGGCTAATACTGAAATTTTGATAAGTTATTCAAAATAATTATATTCTGAAACATTACTGCCCTGAAGAAATATGTGAACCAGATATGTTATTTAAAACTTCCTATAGCTAAATTAAAAACGGAGAGAGGAACAGGTGAAATTTAATTTTAATGTGTGTCTTTTGACCCAGTATGTCCAAAATAGTATCATTTCAACATGTGACTTATAAAATACACAAAATTATAAATTGTCATACCTGTTAGCTTTATATTAAAATGGAAAGTTTTTATCATACAAATCAATGTTGATTTTACAGATTTCTAATTTAAGTCAATATGTAGAAGATTTTAGTTCTAATTGGCAGTGCATGTAAATTGACTAAAAACTACAAGAAAATTTTGAAGACCATTTTGTTACTTGATTTAGTGTTGCTTTTCAATTTTTCAATGCTCTTCTGAATTAGAGTTAGTGAATTTAAGTTGGATATAGTTTTCAAGCAGATATGTCTTTAATTCAGAGTCAGATCAATTATTCTAAAAAAGATGAGCCAGTTTTATAAATGTGGATATAAATATCTTAAGAAAAAAATGTTTTTGTACGTGATTAAGTTGCTAGAAAACTTCTAGGTGTGTTTAGAACAATTTGGGTATGTAAATCTGTTTTTCAACTGTAAACTTCATGAAATTTAAATACAGATCAAATTATTTCTGATGTAAATTTTGTGTATGAATTGAGATATGCTCTAAGTTAAAATATGTACGATATTTCAGTGACTTACAATGAAAAAAGAGAATGTGAAATATCTAACAATGTTATTGATTACATATTGAAATGATAATATTTTGGATATTAGGTAAAATATATTAAAATTAAAAAACCAAAAAAATACACAAAATTATTTTTGACCTTTATTTATATTCTTTCTTATTTGGTACTGAGTCTTCAAAATCTGGTGTATGTTTTATACTTTTAACTTTATACCCCTCAGACTACCCATATTGCAGATTTTAAGAGTCAGTGAAATAGAGTGATACATGAATGTGCGTGTGTGTGCGCACATAAAATTTTATTTTCTTGATTAGTTTGTGGGTAATCAAGTCTTAGGAAAGACAGATTTTTGTTTTCTCATTGCTTCCTGATCTGTGGGGCTTGTGACTCTGAAGAGACAATAAGTGACTTTAAAAATGCCATAGCTTATACTTCTATGGGAGTGTCTTGTCAATAATTGTCTAATTTGGAATGGTTAGTATAGTCCCTTGCAAAAAAGCTGTCTTTTAAACATGAATCTTCTTAAGCTTTCCAGTTAAATGTAACAGAGTGAAAAATGTAACTTGGCGTTTTGTGTATTTTTCTTCTTGTAGGTGTCTGCTGCAGATATTTCATCAAATAAGGATGAAGAAGAAAACTCGATGCACAATACAGTTGTGCTGTTTTCCAGTAGTGACAAGTTCACTCTGCATCAGGTTTGAACTACATTATTTGCCTTCCACTTCTGAACTCCTGTTTGCCCATTTCCTCTTCACCCCACATGCACTGAAGTAATCTAATACTTAGCTCTAGAGCGGTATTAACTTAGAAGGCATTTTTTTAAAATTGTAAAATTAGTACAGTAATAGTATACTTAGTTTGGTCTCCAATTTAAAACATGCTGATGTGTTCTAAATTTCAGGATATGTGTGTAGTCTGTGGCAGTTTCGGCCAAGGAGCAGAGGGGAGATTACTTGCCTGTTCTCAGTGTGGTCAGTGTTACCATCCATACTGTGTCAGTATTAAGGTAAATAGACGTAAATTTAAATATTAAGGTAAATATGCTTGAAGTTAACAAAACTGTATTGAGATTTGATCTGAGTAGCTTCCAGGTCTAGTTAATTGAGTATTGTTAGGATTATTCTGCATATGTGACAGTATTTAAGTACTTCACTGCCTTTTAAGTATTACCTCAAGAAGTGAACTTCTGTAAAGCTATGGTCTTAAATTGTGGTAACTATCCTGCCTTGTCTTAAAAAAGTAAAACAAAAAATGTGTATCATTAATTTAATAGATACTTTGTACTATTTTTTGCTGAGGCATGAAGTTTAGTTGATTTATTCTGTCCATGGATCATGAAAGTTGAGAGTACTTAGTAAAAAAAGCTCATTAGTTCACCCTGGTCTCATTTGCTCTCCTAGGCCCCCATCCATAAACAAAAGGACACTTTCTGTTATGCTTCTTGAATGTGAGTGGGTTTGCATTTTTAATCAGTTTGGGAGCTCTTTTGGCATTTAGTTCTTGAAATTTTTTTCTGTTCTCCAACCTACTCCCCCCAGCCCCATACCCACCCCGCCACCTCCCTACTACCATTCTGGAGTCTGTTTTATGTGTGAAATTGTGAGATACTGTCCTCAGATTGCTGACACTTGGTTGATTGTTTTTGCCCCAATTGTTTTTCTCTCTGTGCTTTAGTTTTTGTAGTTTCTATTACATTCTTAAAACTCAGTTACTATGCAGTATCAAATCTATTTTTAATGCTGTCCAGTGGTTTTTTCACCCAGATAATTGTAGTTTTTTATGGTTTTTATCCATTTTATGGTTTACATTAATCTTGTAGTGTAAAATTTTTTTCTTCATTATGTTTTTTTCTTTCAAGTCCCTGAAAAATTTATAATTGTCTGCTGATTTTATCATCTCTGGTATTTCTCATGGTGTTAATTAATTTTTCTCCTCATTGGAATATGCTTTCCTGCCCCCTGCCCCTGTTTTTAAACAGCTAATGATTTGTGTGTGTGTGTGTTTGATTGAATGTACGCATTGTGCATTGTGATACTGTATTGTTGGGAGTCAAGATTTTGTTCCTTCAAAAAGCAGAGTTTTTGTTGTGGCAGACAGTTACTTGTGGATAAGTCTTGAACCTTTTGAAGATCTTTTTAAGCTTTCTGAGGTAGGTCCAGAGAGCCTTCACTCTGAGGTGGCTATTCTCAAACATTTTGGTGTTAGAACCCTTAACGTTCTTAAAAATTATTGAGGACCCCATAGACATTTTGTTAATGAGGATGATAATTACTGAATATTTACTGTTTTATAAATTAAAACAGAGTATTTTAAAACACAAAAATAGGCAGACATACCTCATATGATGTCAGTGTAACGATGTTTTATACATGTAGCCTCTACAAAACATCACTGAATTAAAGTGGAAAAAAAAATAACATCCCAGTATTATTTTGAAAATAGTTTAGACCACACTTTCTTAGCTACTTCTAGCACCAGTTTAATACTTGAAGCATGTCCTTTATGAGATTGCTGCTGACTTCTCTCTAAACCCTTCCCCTCCCTGCCATTCCAGTCCCCAGCTCACCAGTGTCTTTTCAGCCTGAGTGGTTGAGATTCAGATGCCTTCTGGTGTTGTGTGGACTGAACGTTGATAATTACTACAAATCCCCAGGAGTTGTTCTTTGCCTCGGTTTTGGGTCCTTGTTTGACCGCCTAGATGTGCAGCGTGGTGTTCAGCCAAAGACTTCAGGGAATTCTGTGTACAGTTCTGGAGCTCTTACTTCTTACTGTTCCATTCCTTCCAGTATTCTGTCCTCAGAAACACATTTCTGTACTGCCCTTTGTTCTGTCTCTGAGGGCAGGTGTTGCATACATTTTGCCCAGTCTTCTAGTATTTTATTATGGAAGACAGATCTCGTCGCAGTTACTCCATTGCAGTTGAAGCTGATATCCATTACACACTAAAAAAACACGTCTCTCAAACCTTCACCATGGTGCCATGGATGCAACCCTGGATTAATACCGTACTCAAAGAGTTCTTGAAAATGAAGACAAAACCAGTTTAATAGGAGGAAAAAAAGAGTTGATAGTATAACCCTGATACCTATACTAAGAGGAAATTTCAGAGGGCGGGAAATTGTTCAAATGTTGAAGTGCTTGAAGAGAGGTCAGATAACACAACACTAGAGTGTCATCTAGATTTGGGAGTAAGGAGGTCTTGACTGATGGAATCGGGCAGTTTCCGTGGTGATGAGCATAGTGCCCAGACTGTAGTATGTCAGTGAGTCAGTATAAACTGAGGGACTTGAGAGTTTGCCTATAAAGGACCAGAGGCTTTGAAATAGGAAAATAGGAATGAAGATACATTATTTAAAAAATTCGACTTTATATCTTATGTTTCTCCTAAGCCAGGGGTTGGTAAACTATGGCACGCAGGCCACATCTGGTCCACTGCCTTTTATTTTTTATTTTTTAATTTTAATTTTTAATTTTTATTTATGATAAGTGACGTTTTATTGGAACACAGCCACACTCTTTTGTTTACATGTGTCTGTGGTGGGCTTCACACCACAGTGGCGCAGTTGTGTAGTTTAAGAGATTATCTGGCCCACAAATTCTGTAATGTTTATTTCCTACCCTTCACTGAAAAAGTGTGTTGACTGCTCCTCTGAGCTACACTGCTTTTCCTCCCCATTTGGGTAGATAATATAACTTGATAATCTAAGACTAATCTACATGTGAATCAGTAGGCTAATCAAAGTAATTAATGTCCATACTTAAAAATTAAATGTCTGTAAAGCCTTGTAATGACTGGCCTCCCTGTCTCACTGTGCCTCCAGGTCTGAGTCCTGATCCCTCAAGGCAGCCACTTTGGGTTCTTTCAGGTCCTTCTTGCAGTTACTCTGCAGCTCTAAGGACTATGCTGGGGCTACTGCTTTATCTGTGTTAGACTTTGTTGACTTTCTGCTATGAATTAATAAATGCTGATCTAGCTCCTAAAATAGGCCCCCTGCCTTGTCCCAGTATCCTCCGATATTGCTGTTTTATTACCTTTAGTTAGTGAACCATGGCAGTTATGACTCTGTAAATGGTCACTGGAGATCTAAGTAATGTACTATGACTTTATTTTGGTTTTCATGGAGTTTTTAATAGCAGGAAGAAAATAATGATCCATGATTTTCCATTAGTTTTTGTTGTTTGTTTTTACCTATTGTAGATTACTATTTCAAGAACCTGTTTTTCTGGAAAGAGTCCTGCCCGCTTTCCACACTGTCCTTTTCCCTGTTCTGAACTGTGTTAGCTGCTTCTAGACCTCTTGCTCAGTTCTCATCCTTACACATCTCTGGGCTGATGGTCTCTGTTGAGTTCATTGCTTTCTGGATTCCACGTCTTTTTCTTGGTATATACATCCTCATTTTGTTCCTCATATCTGTAACTTCATTAGAAAAAATACTAGGGAGGTGAATTTTGAATCCTTGTGTATCTGAGAGGCATTCCACATCACATTTAATTGCTTGTTAGCTAGTTAAGAATTGTACCTTGAAGTATTTTCCCGTGAAATTGAGAACT